TCTGCAGGCGGATATGGGCTACCGGCTAGGAATACGATGTGAGAAATGTTCAAACAATACAGGGGACTAAGGGACAAGGATGCTGCGAGCTGCAAATTCCCCGCACGCTGCAGCGTACTGTAAAGCTGGAAAGGTTCTAGATACGCACACGCGCTGTGGTGTGAATGCACGAAACTGTCGTCGACGAATATCCTTTAGTGATGGAGGAGAAATGGAACATGGTGCTTCATGGTGCACCTGGATCAGATGCCCTCAAAATCGAGGACACTAGCATATGACTCACCGTAACCGTCGATGAGAACACAGCATGCCAAACAGCAGACTTACTTTACAGGCACTTTAGAGTTTTATTCTGCTATGCATGGAATGATATGAAGATAACACACATAAAACGTGAAGTTTCGCAGCATTAAGGTATAAGTGCTGACTTACACATACTTCCGGCACATACAAGAGACTTGCTAATGAGATCATAACATCAAATCAGACAATGCTTGAGGGAAAAAAAATCCAAGGCTTCGCTCCCATAAAAAAATCAGATTTGCAACACACTCAACACCTAAGCAACTGCTGATGATGAAGGAAGCTGTTGCTGACAATGTTGGATAAATTCGCCTGCTGGAGGAAAACGCTCCTGAAAACTTGCTTTATGATAAAGCAGTCCTACGAATTTCCTATTTTCCTTACCTGTGCGGCCTTATCGAAAATTTCCTCATCACTGACCATTGGCAGGAATAAATTGACGAGATCATCAGAAAATGGTGGTGCGATGATTTCCAGCACCTGCAAACTCCTCCTACATGAGTATGTATTACAGTGAACGTGGCAGAAACCCACCTCCATCGCAAAATACCGTACTAAAGAAGCATCGATCTGTCCATCACGGAACATCTCCCAAACCTTCTCCAACACTGGTATTGCACCTCCTACCGACAGAAGGTGAACAAACCGATCAACAACTAATCGCTGTCGTTCCATTATTACCTATATTGGAGGAACTATGAATGAGAGGAGCAAGTAAAATACTGATTCAAAAAAATCGGACACTAATATGCACCTCAGCAGCTTCGTTTTCT